TTCTGGAACAAGATGACAATTCCCAATAAAAGCCAGGATAACCAGAAGTATTACTAGAATGCTGTTCAGAGTAAGGGGGAACAAAAATGATACTATAATTTCTCCAAATTTTTCATTTTCGGTTAACTTTAAACACCTTGGTATTTTTAAGATCCAGGTGGCATTTATTTTATCAGTAATTTAAAGACTGTTAATTGGCACTAAATTTTAATAGTTCATTTTGTTTTAACAATCAACTGAGTTTATTTTCCTTAATTAAAACAGGCAATTCCTTAAGCTTATTTTGAAAATCTGAATTTTTTTTTCAGAACATCATACTGCCTGCGCACCCTGTCTTGTTAAGGGGTATCTAAAAAACCCAAATACTATGCATATTACAATCATGAGATATTACATGCAAAATAACACTGTATTAAGCTACCTGTTTTCAAATACTTGACTTAGAGTTTAGGTTCAATATTTCCTTCTAAGGTGGTAGAGTTTTTTGTTTTTATAAAACTGGTTAACAATTAATGCTACATATAGATATCTAGTAGTTTTTCTGGAATTAAGCACATTTTCAGCGAAATACGCTTGGACTGATGAGGTTGCTTGGTGGCAATCTGAGACTCTGGAAGGAAAGAGAGTATGTTGCTACAATAATTTTCATCCTGAACACAGTATGTTTGTTTTTAAAATTTGCAATGCTTGTTCATATCTGCTATGGATATGTATGTGTAGAGGCTCTGTGGTTCTGAAGCAGCAAAGGACTATGTGTTGCAAATGGCTCCAATCTAGGGTTTAGGAAAACCCTGGATGCCTGCAGTTCTGTGGTTCAGAGCCTCAGCCAACCTGAGCCCCAAAGGTAAGCTCTGCAGTGTCTTCCACTCCTGTGTGGACATCAACATTCCTGGCAGAGGTCTGTGGGTTAAACAGTACCCCTGGGCACAGGAGAACAGAGTGGGAAGCATTCCACCTATAGTAGTTAATAGTCTCATCCGCCTGGACGAGGGAAGGAGAAACATCACACATTTATTTCTCCCACATAAAATCAGTTGGTGAGTTTACTTCTTTTCATTTTCTAAAAACAACACAAATTCAGTGCAAAATGGGTTTCAAACTAAAATATACAGAAATCAGGAAATTCAATTTTTTGAACTGAGTGTAAATCATGTTTCATACACAACACATGCCAGAATTTCCTTGTACCAAGCAAATTCAATAAAGACTGGGGATTTGCAGTACATCACAATACAACGTGGCAATCACAAGTGTGACTTCCCTTTCTTTCGGTCTTAATTGCAATACTATATAGCAAATATGGTTTCAGATCAGGCAAAATGTGATCTTCCCGTAAACCCTTTAAAGTCTACGCCTACCTATGTACAACCCTGCCTATAAGATTATGTTTCTAAGATTAAGGGGAAATTTTGAAAGAAAATCTTTTGTTGGTAGCTTTCCCATCTTCTTCTGGCCAGAGACTTAAGTGAGCTATTTTTCTACTGATCTGTCAGTGTTCCCAAGCCTCAATGGGGCCAAGAAATTAATACAAGTTAGGTCTAAGATGCTAACAGACTTTCTGTCTGGGATCAGCCTGATGAAGACCACATTCCCAATTTTCAAACTAATACCAGTACACTGCTGCTGCAGTGAGAACAGTAGGCATTTGGAGAGAGCAAAAAAAATTCTCAGAATACGGAGGTGAAGAGGGTAACATATACAGAAAGAAAAGAGTTCCCCCCTACAATACCCACATTGTCCCAATGTGGTAAAAATAACAATAAAGAATCAGCTTAACAGTTAACCTACTAACTGCTTTCAATTTCAATGTTTCAGAGAAACTTCCATCTCAACTTCTCATTCTCAATTCCTGACTTGTAGAAAACAGGTCTAAACAGCTCTACACCTATTTTATGGAGAGCCTGAAGGCTGAAGACATTGTTTAAATAGATTCAGGTATCCTACAACTAATGTCAGTCCTTTGTGGAACGAGAGGTTCCCTCCCAACTCTGGAAACAAAACAGAACTGGAGATTCCTGACTAGGCAGTGGAAACCTCTAACAGAGATCCTGGAGGAGAAGTTTCCAAATCTCCCCAAGAACTAACAGTGTCTACCAAACTAAGAACATCTGCATCTGAAAAGGGGGGACCACTTCGGTGCTGAGTGTTGAGAATACATGCATGGGTACATGTGTGGGGAGGCAGGTCACTGTCTGACTGTGTCTTTAAACTGTAACCTACATAGGTGGGATCAGATTGCTAAGAACACTTCCGAGGGTTGGGGGGTTCTGGTGGGTCTTGATTATCTTGAGGTAGCTTCTGCATGGCTCTGGGTTTCACTTAAAGACAGGTACTGTGCACAGCTCCTGAAGGTCACCCTTTTCTATGGAAGAAGAGATACCTCCCATGGAGGAAGCCAGTCTTTTAATTTTTTAAGTACAAGAACAATCCCCATCTCCTATAGGCCTGAAGAGAAATTCAGCAAGGTGGCATTTTCCTATTTTTGGAACACACTTACCAAGGGTGCTGCAGTGAAGACAGGCAAATAGTAGGTAAAATAAAGGAAAAGAATTTGAAAAATACATTAAAAAAATAAAGGGATAGGAAATATGACCTTAAGACGGAACAAATAAGTATTAGTCTGGCCACTCCTTCTTTCTCTGCTCCTTCCCTCCCCTGCCTCATGAAAATAAGCCACCAGAGTCCTCTATAAGATTCTAAGTTTCTGCTCTTAAACGGCTGCTTTTCCAAGGAGGAACAAGGTCTGTTTTCTGATGTGGGGCCTCAGATGCTCTGTTACTGCAACTTAATTTTGTCATTGCTTCTGTTCAAAGATTATTTGGAATGAATTGTTTCTTTTGTTTACTATCCAACAAACGACCTCTGCTAATCTTATATTTTATCTCCCTAACATATGGAAAAGCTATTTATTCTAGCCAATCACAATAAAGTGAAGAAAACCCCATTTTATGGAAAAATATATATCACTAGTCTGTTGATCATTAAAGATATGATTACCAGTGAAAACCCTCTGAAGGTGGCACATTTATGCTTCTAGGAACAGATGGGGACACGCATTTTCCTTGCAAATACTTTTGAAATTGCTCTACTGGTAGCAGTATAAAAATGATATACAGATGCCAGGGCCGGCATGGCCAGGATGAGTGCGCCAGATTTACACAGTAAAGCCTTCACATGCGGGCTGTCAGTTTTGATTGATCTCTACTATACCTCAGGAACTTGTTGACTAGGTAGGGAAACAGTGCAAATAATTCACTGCAGCAAGTCCGATAATTCACACAACCAATCGGTCTGCTTCACTTTCTGGCTGTGACATATGAGCCTTCCCTACAAAGATGCATCATTTTCCAGCTTGAGCAATATTCAATGTCAGGAAAGAAAAGGTATTAAAGCCACACAAAAGAAGGTGGACTATCATAGGACCAGAAGTTGTTTTGGTGATGGAAGCCAGATTCAGCTCTAGTCTAAGTCCTACCAGAGCATTCAGGCCCAATTGTCATTATCATATTGATTAAAAAAAAAAAAAAGTTCATCATAGTGCAATTTTAGGTTTAACGGCAACGGATCGGGAAAGAGCAAAGTATTATCCCACAAAAGCACAACATTCTTACCGCAGGGACGTTTCCCTGTTCCAGTTCGTTGATGGAGTTGATTAAGTTTAAATGAAGCAGACACTGGATAAAAGTAAGGGTATTGACCACTGGGCACTGCGATCCGTGCTTGAAAGGACCTGATACATGCAGAAAAGCAAGATTTGCTAAATGCTCTAATCTTCAATCAAATCTTACATCAATACAGACAAAGTTTGGTAATGAGAGATTCAATGAAGCATGCGGGAGAAAGAATTAATCCTCTTGGTCTAAACTGGCTTCAACTTTGAAGCTTGCTCCGAAGGAAAGACAGTTATCTAAATGCTAAATAAGAAACTTATTGTACTTTTCATGGCATGCTAATCTTTTGTCTATTTCATCTCTATTATGTGTATGCTTGTAGATTGCAGTTGTCATGGTGATTATATCAAGCCACGCTCAGGGGATGGTGGTGAGAAGCCAGGCACGGAGGTAGAAAAGACCCCCACGCAATCCACAGTATGAGGAGGGGGGAAAAAAAAAAGGGAGAAAGAGAAGTAGGCAGGCACCCAAGGCCTCCTGGGCTCCTTCCCCACCAGGCCTCTGCCTGGCTCTGATTTGGGCCAATGACGCTTGGGCCTTTCAGCACCTGCATGGTCCCCTAAATGAGGCGAGCAGCATTTGGTAATAATGGTAGTCAGGAGGGGATTCGTTCCTTATAAAGGTTCCCAGCTTTTAGTCTGAAGGCTCCTCCTTCTTTTCACGGAGTCCC